CAGCAAGCCTACACATACACACCGACGTCGCGAATCCTCGGTCTCGGTTGCGCCCAGAATGTCGCGACCGTCTTCGTTCACATCTGAATTTGGTGTCGACCTCACCAGGGAGCGTAAACCGTCTGCGGAGGGCTCCCCTAAAATAGCTGCTTTGAGCAAGAGCACGCGCCTTAACACTTCCACGAGTGTCCTCCCGACACCGTCGAAGCGTGGATCAATGGGACCGCCGCCGCTCAGATCACGGTCATCCATTGTGGGCACGCCTACGATCGCCTCAAGGACACTCAACCGGTCCTCTTCAGCGACGGTGGTGGCTGGCAAGGTCAAGACCGTCAAGTCACCGACGGCCGCCAGCCCACCATCCCCCGCTACACAACAGAACAAAGAAAATACAGATGCCTTGAGAAGGGCATCTGATGTACCACCTGCCTCCAGAAGGCTTTCCACAAGCAGGATTCCGATTCCGACGTTCGCTCAGTAATTTAACCTGTACTGTATTTAACACACTCCTTACCATGATGACAATGCCATGTATGCCACGCCTTTTGTTCGTCTTCCGACTCTGGTATTTGGTGCTCAAGCACACATCCAATGGCCGAAAAAGGCAATTTGGGGTCGCGTGCTTTGCGAACCGCCTTCTCATCGACCCAGAGGGCCCGGCTGCTCCGGGGACGTCTGGACGAGATACTAAATCATTTGATTTTAAATCCGGCGTTCCCCTTGCTCAAACTAGCTTCGGTCGTGCTTGAACTCGAATTGCGTTCCGTTTGGTGCCAGTCATTGCGGCTGCCCGAGTCCCCATGCAGCAAACTCTTACCCGAGCTGTGCTTTGTTTCTCGAGCTACCTATCGTGCCAGTGCCGACTGACCGGGGAACCTGATTATGCCCAATTGCTTGTAGAGTATTACAAGCTTCAGACTAATTAGATTGCCAAATAGATGTGTATTGATACAGCAAGCGTACAAGATATGAAGTAGAATAGGCAGGATACAAATAATAATTGGCTACGTTACACTTGAATGGGTATACTGAACGGTAACTGCAATGGCTGAGAGATTTTCTCGAGCCAGCCAGTCCAATTTCGCTCCTTGTGGCGGCGGCGCGCAACCACATTAAGCTGGTAAGGGGTGGGATGGTGAGCGCAGAGCAGCAGCCAGTTCTTTGACATGTCATGGGTGGTTGTGATACAGAGCGTATTCTGGCCTAGTACCAAGAATGGAGACACATCGACCAATCCATTTGGTGGCAGCTGTCAACTTGTGAATACACGCATGCCAGATAGACGAATGGAATGAAGCTACGCACAGCAAAAGGTGGAGACATGGGAAAATTTGTGCGTTGGCCGTTCCATAAAACGTCCATATTTAAACCGCCTTGAGATGGTAAATGAACCTAGTTACTCTATATGGACAGTTTGGCATCGTACCAGTGTCAGGCCACGAACATTCGAATTCAGGAAGAAGGGTGCGGAGATCGTTACTTTGCGACGACTCCACCCGCGCTTTTACGTCAGTCACCTCCAAACACAAAAGACTTAAACATAGACTGTCTCCCAGGTCACTTGACGATCTTTATTCAGCATTGAACGTGGCAGCGAGTGTGAAAACAAACTCGGAGTGTTTGGAGCGATCGTTCCACTTTTTTATGGAGTCCATTTGATTTTGCTTGATTGAAAAAGTTATCGTAATGGAACCGCTGGCTAACCCGCGATGGTGGGCTATGACGGTCGCTGCCTCAAGACCAGTTTCTACCGGAGACCGATTAGGAGGATGTATTTCATATCGTTCCGTTGTACGCACTTGACGATGGAACAATATCATCTGAGCCCTCTTGAGGGTTTGGAATTGGAAGATCCGCTGTCGAAAATCCACCGGGTTCTAGCGATACGTCGGTATCCTGGAAAACCTCTTAGCGTGTATTTCATGGCTACTAGCGAAAAATTACTGCGATGAGCAACCTGTTGACGTTGTTCACCACGTCTTCGATGATTGCTCGGAAAGAGGCTGGAGTAGGTATTGACTGTTCTTCAACGAGGGTTTCAGGCTCGACTGCTCGGGTCATGACCGCGTTGTTTGAACTTTCTTGGGACGTGTCCATGTCCATGTCCGCGGATCCTTCCCGAGAGATTTTATGAACACTGGCTGCCGCTTGTGTGGGCTGTGACGGACCCTCGGGGACAGAAGAGTGGTCAATGATATGTGATACTGGAGGCGCCGTCTCGTCAGATTTCAAGCCATCAGGGCCCACAGCCTCCGGGATGGCAACTTCTAAAGGCGCCAAACCCGTCAGTGTATGCAGCACGCGATTGACCTCGTCATTCATCCCAATGGACAGCGCTCCAGAAGCAGCGTCCGGTACTGAGGAAGTCGCAGCCTAGAATTACCTGTCTTGAGCATTCAGCAATATCTATTTTGGAACATACGGTCATTTCAATATCATCGGATTGCGCTTTGATCCCCTTAATCACATCTGCATCACTGGACTGCATCCCGTCGACAGGCGCTGGCTTCTTGGCTTTCAATTCTTCTTTCATCGGCGTATCCGGCCGACTCTTTGGGAGTGATGATATCGAGACGGAAGGAGAGTCAGCAACCGCTGGCTTTAAGACAGTCTGGGTGACTTGGACAGGCGAAGAAACCGCTACAGCCGAAGTAGAAGAAGCCGTGTTTCCAATTTGAGTACCTTCCGTGGGTTTCGGGATGGTTCCCCGTTTCTCGTAGTATTTCTGAACGTCGACTTGCATTAGATTGGCGAGATCGTCGCCTTTCTTTTTCTTCTTGCGCTTAGGTTTAGAAGCTACCGGCGGCAGAGGCGCAGATGCAGACCCAAAGCCAGAGTCCGCGGACGGAGGCGGAGCCACATTGGCGGTGAGAGTGACAATTGGTGGAGATTGAGTCTCTGGAACCTGAAAGAGGTTGGGCAAGATTGCAAATGGATACATATTGTCATTACCGATAGACTGATAGGTTTGTTAGAATCCTGCTTCGTGGATGCGGGAGCGACAGCTGCCAACTTTTCCTTCGTGTAGGCCGGTGGGGAAATTGCCGGAGTGACAGATACCAATGGACTGCTAGACCCCTTCGTGTACGCCGGTGGAGGTGTTGGAGCGACAGATAGTCGATTGGAGCTGGCAAGTGGGGCTTGTGTTAATGCTGCGGCCAATGATGAAGAGCTAGGGCGCATCTGCTGGCTAGGGTCGATGGCAGTTGATGGAAACGAAGGCGCATGCATGGGAACCCTAGAGTCAATTACGTTTAGGCTCAGAGCACGCTTCGAGGATTTTATTTACGGAGGAGGCGGGGCGGAGGCTTGTGAGCCTGAGGGGGCAGGATGAGGAGCCTGCAGTATTACAACGGTCTCAAGGAGATGGCGGATTGAAACTAGAACTCTTCAAGCGTGGTGCACTCTGATTTAGCAATGTTGACTGACCTTGAAGTTCTGGTTCAATGAAGCGAGCTTGGAAAGGCTCTACAGTACAGACGAGTTTGATGAAAGCACGAGCCAGCTCAGTGTAATTCTGTGTGGGGCCTTCTTTGCGGAGCGTATCTTCTGCGGTCTAGTAATGGCATTATTGATGGCCTGTGCTCAAAAAAGAGAAAAAGAACGAACCAAGAGGATGTCCACGATCTAGGTTCGAGTCAGTCAAAGTCAAAAGTGGTAGTGAAATGGCTGACCCGAGGGCGCGCATCGGTATAGTACGCTTTATCAATTCCGAGCCATTTACGAAACTTCTCGGCGGTCTGAGCATAAGATCTATCGTTTCTTGTGAGAACAAGGAACCTGTAATGAGAAAAATATCTACTGGACCGACGAAAGCTTTTTTTTGAAGTCCTTGAACACCCTGCTTACAAGTTCAACCAATTCAAAAACGATGAATCCAAGGCTCTCACTTTTCATTTTGCGCAGTGACGTTGTTCTTTTCGGCCATTGTCTAGGTCGGCATGAAGCGACGTGCAGCGCGGTAATCGTCCCAGAATGCGGCCAAGGGTATCCAAATTTAGCCAGCCGGCCATCATTTTCCTTACGTACGCGAATGGCGCTGATAATTTACAGGTCTAAATTCGAGCTCGAGCTGTTACTTTTAACCAGCAAACAACGCCCCCGAATTTTTTCTAAGTTTAAATTTGATCTCGACTTGGTGCTTTTTAGCAAAAGCCTTGAGCTGTATGTACCTTGCAGACGTGTCGGCTCTATCGGACTAGACCCATGGCCAGTGATCCGAAATTCCGACAAATGCATCTTGTGTACGCGTCTCGTTTACTTTACTTACGCGGAAAGTAGTAACGGCGCGTGAGCTCTGTGACGGTACGTGTTGCAGACTCACGGCTATTCACGGACGTCCGGGATGTTCGGGACCAATTTTTTCGAGATTTTGCAGTGCGGGGTACCCTCCTTTGTAATTTTTTGGTAGCTAACAGAATACATACATCCCGGACAACACAGACGAGCCCACCATGTATGTGGAATCTCTCCCACTCCACGCATCCTCCCTTTGCTTTTTGTAGTGTATGACAAAGGAGAGAGAAAGTTTGTTTCCGGAAAAGGACGAGAACCCTGAAGCCGAACTGTTATTACCACATGATCCAGACTCGAACAAAAAGACTTACCGCCTTGTTAGACCTTCTGCTTCTTGGTGAGGCGATTCTTCGGCTTTTTCGGGGGCCATTGGCCACCGATCCGTAATCTGTACCAGAGGTGAGTGCGGAGGAAGGTCGAGGATAGTCTTGACCTCTCGGAACTCGCGCAATGGGCAACTCTTCACTTTGCAGTGTTTGCACGAACACCGGCACCCGTGACGACATTATAACCGGTGGCGAGGGTTACTTGGAGAGGCCTGGCCGGGGTGGATTTTGCTTTCCACTAGATTTTGATCACAGTCTCGACGTTATTACATAGACGATGTCGCCGGGGCAAATGTAGTGTGCAGAAAACGGTCAGTCGGCGCCCAGCGACCTGGCCTCAGAAAGTCTAGATATGGTACTCAGGACAGACAAAGCATCGTCTCTGTAACTCAGTGGTAGAGTGTAGGATTGCAATTCCTGGCCTGTCATCCTGAAGTCCCGTGTTCGAACCACGGCAGGGACTCTTTTTGGGTGATTTTTTTACCAAGTAACCCATAAATCATGTCTTTTGGCGGAAAAAGTACTACCAAGTCTAAGATGAAATTTAGACTTGGAAAAATTCCGGTGGATGTTGTTTTCTAAGAACTTCAAGTACTACTTGACTTTGAGCTCAAACTGAGACTTGTGAACAGAAGGTTATGCCAAAGCCGCAGGCAGCTTTTGGCGATTGTGCAAAGCCGCACGGGCGAGTCCACAGAGGAGTAGCAAAGATTAATTCACATATGGTGAATTATGAGAGTGCTGGTGTGTAATTTTGGGTACTTGGTCGGCAAGTGGCGGCAAATCAACCATCAGAAATGAGCTGAATTCGTCACTGGTTCAAAAGCCGCATAGGTAGAGCGTGCAAATCGCCATTCAGGTGAGTCGTTTATACCTCGTTTACATTAAAAAAATTCAAATCCTTCAGCCGCATGCGGCTCCGGCTCGGCACAACCCCTCTAATTTTCGGCACGTAGATTCAAAAAATCTGATCGACCCCAAGATGCTCACGGAGATCAACGTTAACGACTTCAGTAGTTGGTTTAAAACAGTTGGATCGCTACCCCCTCACTGCCTTTTCCAGGTGTGTTTTTGGCCATAAGTATTTGAGAAAATGTGCACATACCAAAATGATGTTACAAGCCGTACACACTCTCATTTTCCACCCCATCAGTAAAGATGTAGAATAGTGTGCATTTTTCAGGAACACGGAGGTGAGTGCTGACCCATTGGGGACTGAGTCTTGTTCCAACCACGCGACTCGCGTGAAGAACAGTCGGGAACGGTATTATATATGTCCCCCTCCGCTGCCGTGGTTGCGCGTACAATCCCGTGTTCGAACCACGGCAGCGACTTATATTGAATGATGTTTGAGTTACATACAGTATGTTTTGGAAGTAACTCGTCCGACTTTTTCTCGGTCTGAGTTGAAATGTCGCCGCATTTAGCATCCAACTTGTAACAATCGTCGCGCCGCTGATAGCGTCTTTTTTATTTCCGTTCTCGTACTAATCAGACACGCTAAATTGTAAGCTAGTCGACTAAGGGTAAAGAATACAATGAATTTTGACACAAGGCACGGTTCTTTGTATTTCCAATGACCCGAGCTATGCTGGCGCGCATTGTTCACGACCAGTGCGACCAGTCAATCAAACCACGTCCGTTCTGTGCCTGCCAGCTGATAAAGGGCCACTGCCCCGGACTTGACATTGCGTCGAGCGTTATAACAGCCCTGGGGCGCCCATAGACTCCAGAATAAGCCAAGCCAAGCCCCCCACTCCCCATACGGATATTTATCGAGCAATCCAATCGATCCACGATCACAGACGCGCCGTTCGTTCCTCTGCTCATATCTTCGTCCTTGAATTTCACTCCGGCTTAGTGCCGCCAGGAAAAGTAGACGGAGTTGCTCGCGTTCGTCCTATGGGCTTCGACGTGGTCGTTGTGGGTGAAGGGGGTGGGCCTGATGAGACTAATTTATCGGCGTATGGTGTCTCAACGCGCTTCCACCGCCACGTGGCACTGACTGCTATATTTTTGTGCTCCAGCTATCTGTTCAAGCCCTCTGCCGTTGCTTGGGAGGATGGAATAGTTGCCTTGGAGGCAGGTTCGGACGATCAATTATTTCAAGAATTCAATGTTGAACCACTGTGACCAGGTTCTGGTCAGGGAACATTGCAAAAACTCCTCCAACGCGACCCAGATCTTTTCAGTGCACCCGACCAGGCGGCGCGTGCAAAGCCTTATACAGCCATGGAGATTTACTCGCTTGTACGGTTCGTGGGTCCATTATTTTTATCCAGTCGAGATAATGTTCATGTCGGCGCGCGCAGTTGTTTCCTCATCTCGCACGCGCACCTGGACCACGTAAACAGCTTGGTTTTATCGGCTGGCTCGCTGAGTGGTCCGCGAAAACGTCTCTGTGGCGCGAAGCAAACCCTCGCAGATCTAGAAAGCGTGTTTGCCGACCGCATATGGCCCAACTTGGCTTCTTGGAACGAGGAAGACGACGACCACAAGCTGCTGTATACCTTGTAAGTTGGTTCTCTATATCCTCGCCGTTACTTATATTTCCTGTAAGACTTGACATGAACGACGAATACGAACCCCTAATTCCCAACGTCTCCGTCCGCAGCTTCCCGGTAAGCCACGGCCACAACGTAGGAGGCAATTACGACTCTACGGCATTTTTTATCCGCTACGACCCTACTGGCCTCGAGTTCCTCTTCTTTGGGGACCTCGAGCCAGACACGCTCTCCCATTCCCCACAAACGATCAATGTATGGCGCGCCGCCGCGCCCAAAATTCCCGCATCCCTGTCTACCATATTTATCGAATGCTCGTGGCCGTCTTCTAGAAGCGACGATACGCTATACGGCCACCTCAAGCCCGAACACTTGGTTCACGAGCTGGAGGCCCTCGCAGCCGAGGTCGTCAAGGTCCGCGCTGCCGCCTCCAGCGCGTCCGCGCGCCCCGTTCGGAAAAGGCAGCGGATGGACCCCTCCGTCACGTCGCCGTCGAGCAACCTGCGGGGCGCCCTGGATGGCGTGCGCGTGTTCGTAATTCACTGCAAAGACACGCTCGACGGAGCCCTCGACCGACCGAATCAGACTCTTATCATCGAGCAGATAAAAGCGTTGCTGGAGGTAAAAGAGCTTGGAGTAGAAATTTTGGCTGCACGTCAAGGGATGCGTATTCGTGAGTGGTCCATCTCGTCCCAGCGTCTAAACTGATTATTCTCGCGCCAGGGATATAATCCTTTGGACAGAACACATTATTTATTCCTTCTTGCTGTCCTGAGTCACCACCCGCTGTATAACTAGCCCTCCTGTAGCTGTAGTGCCGCTCATATTGAACTGTTGTTGTTTCTGTACAACATAGAACGTCGTTTGCCCAGAAGGGATGCGATTATTTTCATCATAAGTAATTGCGTAACAGTCGTTAAAAACATATGTATGTACAAGAAAGCAGCGGAGCGAAAAGAAGAGAAAATTTCCAGTATGAACATTCTATTAAGCAAAGCTATGGTGCAGTAAAAGTTATCCCACCGCTAACAAAGAACGTAGCATCGGACAAGAGCGAATGTATTGGTGGGGGTTACGACGACGCGTAGAGCTTGACGACGCCGTCTGCCCCGGCGCTGGCCATGAAGGGCAGTGACGGGTGGAACTCGGTGTCCAGCACGCCCTCGCGCGCCTTTTCTCGGTGGGTCGTGCTCTCCTGCACACACGCACGCGAGCCGAGGAGGTCCCAAAACCGCACAGAGCAGTCGTGGCTGCCAGAGACGAGCGAGAAGCCCGCTGGGTCGATCGACAGCGACGTGACGCCGTCGAGATGAGCCAGCATCGAATGTGTGCATTGCCCTAGTAGACATAGCTGAGTTTAGATGTAATTGGCAGATAGATAGTCGTGGCAAACCTGTGACGATATCGAATATCCGGATATACTTGTCCTCATGCGCAGTGACGAGCAAAGACATGGTCGGATGCGAGACTATCCGGTTTATCTGGGTAGCTGGCGTGCCATCTAAAAAAAACGTCCCAGTTAGATTAGGAGCAAAAAACTCGCTAGAAGACAGGTAACGCACCGTAACTGATGTCAGTCGCCAACCTCGACAGCTCCTTCCCATTCTCGATATCGAATATCTTCACGACCGCATTCTGGTACGCGACCGCCACCTTTTTGAGATCGACCTTGAGCGCCTCGACCGCCGTGGCTCCTGGCGTGTCCGCGTCCTCGTGTAGTTCGTCCACGCCCGCACTTTCCAGCCCCGCCCATCCCCACGTCAGCTTGAGCGACCCGCCACCCGACGGCCCGCTGACGTCCCATACTTTCACCGTGCCCTCCGCGCCACAGCTGATGAGCGTGCTCTCATCCCGCACGAGCGCAAGGTCCCACACGGCGTCCGTGTGGCCGATGAGTTCGCCGCGCGCGCGTGTCTCGTCGTACGGCGCGTATGTCGTATGAGAGATGGAGGGGAGCGCCCAGACGCGAATCGACGAGTCGAGGGACGCAGAGTACAGGAGCTGCTTTGACGGCGCGTGTATCAGCCGCGTGATGGCGGCCGAGTGGCCGCGGAGAGTCAGTTGTGGTTCAATTTCAGTCGTCGGTCGCGAACTACGCAACGGATCAGCGGCAGGTGCGGAAGGGACGGTCAGGGCACATACGCAGAAGAGGCAAGACCGGCAACATCCATCCGCCATATTTTCACCGTGCAATCGTCGCCACCTGTTGCGAGCGCAAGTTCGTGCGGGTGGAAGGCGAGTGCCCGAACGGCATCCAAGTGACTGGCCGACGGGTGAGTATTAAGCGGCGAAATGTATAGAGTGGCACGCACTTTCTCAGTGTCCGTTTTGGCCGCCAAACCTTATTACCCTCGCCGTCGCTGACCACGGACGACTCGTCATCGTCGACCTCGCCGTCCTCCTCCTTCCCTTCTTCCTCTTGCCTATCCCATGCCTGCTGGCTTTCGCGGGCGAGACGCGCCTGCTCTGCCTCATGTGACAGCCGCAGCTTCTCCTTCCATTCGCCGGCGTCATCCGGTCGGAAAATCGCCGTCAGCTGGCGTGGTTCCTCGTCCCTCTCTCCTCCTGCAGCATTCGACGACGATTGCGATGACTGGGACGGGACCACATTTTGTTGTTGTTGCATCAGGGCCGGGTTCGGGGACGAGGACTGCTGGGGCTGCTGCTGCTGCATGTGCTGGAGTTGCAACATTGCCGAGCCCAGGGGGTTGTTCCGCTCGAGGTTATGGATTTGGCCCGCAGACGCGGCGGGGGCGGAGGAGGGGCCCGACATTAGGTTGATGTTGCCGTTTAACATGGGAAAGTCTTTGCCCGACTCTGGCAGCAGTTTCCGCGGTCTGCCATTAAAGGCCATTTGCTCAAACGGCGGAGCGTTCGGAAGGGTGAGGGAGATATTACCGTTGTTGAGCAAGGGTCGGTTGGGCAATGGGTTCATTGCTTGAGGGGACGTGAGATATGA